GCTACACGATACCAGCGAAGGGGGAAACATCCGGGAATGTTTTCTCGGTTCCGGACCCGTGTCAGACAGAACCGGAGGGGGAATGTTCCATGTTCACGTAGTTAGAGGCATATGACAGGTATGTGGGTAGCGTATCCGGGTTCGTCTCGTTTTTATAAGCAACTTTCATGTAGAAAACATTTTCATCTCAGCTACGGTTTATTTTTCTATTAATTTTTTAAGTTTAAAACAAATTCGGGTATTATTATTAATTATTCAATTGAATAGCACAATTTCTGTTTATACCCAGACCGAGTGAGCCACAGTCAGTGACTTGTGGGGCCAGTTGACTGGATCAACTACACAGTCAATAGGTCCAGTCAGCAGTCAACGGGACCGCTGACTGGTCAAACTGTTAGGTGGGCCCCCCATAAGTGGCTGTTTATTTAACAGACTTAATTTACATTAGTCTACTTAGTGGGGGCCCACACGTCATACATTGATGTTTAAACTAATTCAGTTAAAATAGATTAACTAGGCGGTGAGACCTACGATCAGTGGGCTTAGTAGGGATGGTTAGTGTCCTACATGTCAATTAGGGCGGCGTCTTAGCGCCGGTGCCAGAGGCCACGGCGGACGGCAAGAACGGCGGTGAGGCGCTGGGAGGTGGTAGGGCGAGGGGCCGGCAAGGCCCGGTAGCGGCGTGAGGCGCAGCGGGGCAGCAAGGCTGCGGCCAAGGGTGTCGTCAGCGACTGCGGGGTGCGGGCGGAGCATGGTCAGCGGGGCGGCGGGCGACTGCAGCAGCGTCAGGAAGAGAGGCGGCGCGCGCGGCTGGTGGAGGCGAGCAGGGGCGCGGTAGTAGGCGTACACGACCGGCATAGTCGGGGACGCGGCCAGGGATTGGCCTCGGCGAGACAGGGCACGGGTGGCGCACAGCCAGGCGAGGTGCGGTCGGCTCGGTGAGCGCGACCCCATAGGGAAGTGGTGAGCGGCGCAAACGGCGACTAAACAAGGGGGAAAGTGGGGGAATCGGTGGAGACACTCACCGCGGAGCTGGGGGAGCAGACATCGAGGCCGGGGTGGTCGGAGCAGCGCGGATCGACGTCGAGAAGCAGTGGTCACTAATGAGGAAGAAGAGGTCGATGCGCTCGATCATTGATGAGCCGGCTCCAATCCGTGGACGTAGGCGATGAAGGTGGCGATGGTGTTGCTCCTGGATATGGTGGTGTGATGGTGGTGGCCGGTGGCCACGGGATCGACGACGAGCTTGGTAGTGGTGGTTCAGCTATGTGCGCAGGAGACAAAAATGACGCAAGGGAGGGGAAAACTGAGGGCCTAGGCTTTCGGCGAGAGAGAGAGAGAGAGAGAGCAACGAAGGCTTGCTCTTATCCAACCCCTCAGACCGCAGGATGGCCGACAGTAGCGTCTTCGGCGGCCATGGCGGGGTGGATGGCCGCCACGCCATCCCCTGGTGTATAGAGGAAAAGAATGAGAGGGGACGGGTTGGGGCTTGCACTATGGGCTTATAGCTGAGACCAACAGTGGGGGTGTTTTATTTTCCTTTTATCTTTTCTGATTTATTCTTTCTACTATTTTTTTCTATTTTTCAGCTAATGTTTGGTATTTATTTGAGCGAGTAAACTATTTGCTACCTACGTAATCATCAAGCATGATTACTTTGTGTTATTAGTTTAAGGTTTAGGGTGTATGAAACATGATACTTAATTTAAAATCTCGAGCCCCATACTAAACTCCATGCACCCAAGTTCGTCGGATGCCCCGCTATGCTTCATGTCCCTTTTCAACGTCACAAAGTAAAATTGTGCGTTTCTTGTACAATGGTACGAAAATTTGCCATCATTAGCTATTGTCTGTTTGATACGTGTAAACTAACAGTAATTGTCCTTTATGATGCATTTTCGTGTAATTAAGTTGAAATCAAATACTTGACATGGCAAATTCAATACTATGAAATCTTAATGTTTGATTTTGCCCTTTGTTGTGCAAGATAACATGCTTTGTCTTCTGGCCAACAAGTTTTTTTCAAAAAAAATAGATGGCAAACTTTGGGAATAATAATTTGTGGTGGTCATGTGCCAAACATATGAAAAAAATTGTACTAGGTACATACAATTTTAGAAAAAAAATAAGTACAAATGGTCACTAGGGCATTTTTTATCGAAGTTACAATGATTTTTTGTAAATTGCCACATGATTAGGTCAAACTTTTCTACAATTTTCCAACTAAAGATTATAATTTTTGAAACAATTTTCCATGCTTTTTTTAGAACACAATCTCAAATTTTGTCGTGCGTCAATGGATTCTTCAAATATAAACTGCCATTTTTTTTCTTAAGTAACATGCAAAATTTAACATGTCCCCATGGCAAGTTTATTTAACATAACATGGCAAATTATATTTTTATTCATATATCAGGGCAAAATTCATACTATATACATGGTAGATTTGATTATGAACATGCCATTTCTTTTAAGATAAAAGTTTTTATTTTTTTCACATGGCAATTGTAGGTAAACAAATCCTCACTTTCTAGATTTTTAAATATATGTGCCCATGGCGAATTCCTAAGATTGTCATCTTTGCAAAGAACAAAATCCCTAGATTTCCATGTTCCTATTACAAAATTCCAAAAAGCTGCCATGTTTTTTAGAGAACAAACTTCCTAAAAACTTTCTTGTGTAATTTTGTTATAGGCAACATGGCAATTTGTTATTTACACCGTGACAATTTTATTAATTAGATCATGTTAGTTTTATGTAGGTAGCATGGCACTTTTATTTTCTAGACCATGGCAACACTATTAATTAGACCATGGTTGTTTTATTCTAGATAGCATGGCATTTTTATTATCTAGAACAAGACAATTTATTAATTAGATCATGATAGTTTTATTGTAGGTAGTATGTCACTTTTTATTAATTAGATCATGTCAATTTTACTAGTTAAACCATGGCAATTTTATTTGCCATGGCAACTTATTTTAAATAATAGTAATCGTATAGCATGCAATTTAAACACATTTTTGCTATGGAAACTAAATATTTTGTTGACACGGTAATTTCAAATTATTTTCGCCATGTAAACTTAAGATGTGTTCCCCTGACATTTAAAGTTAACTTGTGTTGCCACTTTTTTACAAGCATCTAGGTGGAGGGGAATTTTTTTTTATGTTGTTTAGCTATTTTTCAGCTGTAAATCCCAGCTTGAAGGGTTGATACTGCTTAATTTGAGCCTGTTTGTGACCCATTTTAGATCCTTAACTTGGGTGGTTCATCGAGAAGTATGCTTGGGGCACCAGCACGCCCTACTCCTAGTTTTATGGGAGGTTAGTCAGGTCGGTCCTCCCAACACGAACCAAGCATTCGCGCAAGTTGAGCGATTCCTATTCCTATGGAAGGTTTGTCAGGTCAGTCCTCTTAGCGCGAACAAAGTGTTCAAGCGAGAGAACGTCCGGTCCTTCACTTTTAGGGCATCTTTGATTCGCGGGACTTAAAAAACGCAGGAATAGAAAACGTAAAGGGTTGGAATGACATTGCCCATTTGAATCTTATAAGGTTAGTAAGAAGTGTTTGATGTCACTGAAAAATAAAGGAATTATGAAAAGAGGTTGAAGTCGACGTTAGATTTCCTATGAAATGTAGGAGTATAAAAGATTTTATAAAAAACCATTTCTATGGGATTTAGTTCTATGAATCAAAGGATCAATGTAAAAAAAAGCTCTCGGATACTGGGCTCGTTTGATTCAAAGGAGCCCTTGCAGTGATGAATGTCTCATATACAGGAGGTAGAGGACAATCCAACCCCTACTTGCTAGTAGTAAGGCTGGTCATAGTGGGGAGTAACTTAGATTAGTATGTTACTAGTCTAAGTTACTACCTTTATAATGCATAGTATCATACTCCCTCCGTTCCTAAATATAAGTCTTTGTAGAGATTGCACTAGATGGACTACATAAGGAGCATAATGAATGAATCTAAACTTAAAATGCATCTATGTACATATGTATGCAGTTTATAGTGAAATCTCTACAAAAACTTACATTTAGGAATGGAGGGAGTAGATTAGTATCATGAGTAGTCTCATTTATAGTGGAATCTCTACAAAGATTCACATTTATTATGTTACGGTATCTATCTATGTTACTATGAGGCTGGTCATAGTGGGGAGTAACATACACTAGTATCATGTATATGATACTAGTGTATGATACTATATCCATAGTGCATAGTATCATAAAGTAGTAGTATCATAGTTGGTCTTATTTATTGCCATGCATGACACATAATAGCATAACATTTATTATTATATGGTATCTACCTATATTACTATGACTCTCTCTTTCTTCTTTAATTGCCTGCCACATAAGCATGTTTGCGAGTCCTAAGTACATGATACTCCCTCTATAGCTAGCCTAACCATTTTTTTAAGTGTCTGTCACATAAGCATGTTTGTGAGCCCAAGTGCATGATACTACTTATATTATCCCATTATGGCCAGTTAGGAGCGGGACACACTGCTCTGCAAGAATTGAACGGGCGAATAAAGCTAGCGCAAAACACCAAACATCTCCGGGTTGTCACCGTGCTGTCCGTGATCGTCCAAGCACCGGCTACACAGGCCTCGAAATCCCGTGATTAATATTGCTCGACATGCTTTGAAATGTCGGGTACCTTCCATAGGTATAGGGGCGAGATGATTTGATTAAGCTGTAGTATAGGCTATAGGGTATTGTGAAGTTGTTATTTTGTCGAGCACTGGAACAAAATCTTCCTGAAAATGGTGCTTTTGGAGGAAAAAGAAGCCGAAAGTAAACATTAGTAATAATCTGATCATATTATTAGCTGCCATCCAACGAATCAAAGAATAGTAATACTCCTAGTAGTAAGAAACAATGAACTACTAATCCCTACAACCAACCTATACAGAGACACCCAAATCATATAACGCCGCCCAAAAATCAATCAAATCCATAGCCATTAGTGTCCTGTCAAGTAAGAGCTCAGCAGCTTGCCGCGCCGGCGCGTCCCCTTGCTCCGGCGCCGGCCCTGCTCCCCCGGCCGCGGCGCCCGCGGCCGCGCGTCTTCATGACCACGGTCTTGGACTCGCCCCACGCCCAGAACGTGCCCCTCTCCTCGTCCGAGTTGTCGCACTCCGGGAACGGGCCGGCCGCGTACCGCGCCGCGTCGTAGCACACGGTGTAGGTCATCTGGCGCGCCCGGAACGCGCGCATGGCGGCGCGCTTCTGCGGGGTCATGACCGCGTAGTCGGCCGTCATGAGGCCCAGGAGGTCGTACCCGCCGGCGGCGTCGCTCCTGAGGCGCAGCGCCGCCGGGTCGGCGACGCGGCATCCTCGGAGGGACAGGTCGGAGAAATCGGAGGCGAAGGGCGCGTACTTGTAGTTCACCTTGTACTTGCCGCCCTCCGTGGCCCAGGCTGAGCCGTCCCAGATGGTGGCGTACACCGCCATGGGCTTGGCCGGGAAGTCCCCGCCCATGCCGGGGTGCCGGACCACCTCGCGGATCGGCGTGTCGTCCACGTAGAATCTGCACGTACGCGCGCGCACATCGTCAGTCACTTTATATTCTACTACGTGCAGTGGCAGTGGCAGTGGTAGAGTGATGATGCGTACATGATGTGGGTGGGGGCCCAGAGGATGGAGTAGCGGTGGGCCTCGAGGGTGGGGTCGAAGGGGAGGAGGTAGCGCTCCTCCCGGCCGCGGCTGGTGCTGCCGTTGCCGTAGACGTTGGTCTGCACCCGCCACTGCCCGCCCCACCGGCTGCCCAGGAACTCGAAGTCCAGCTCGTCGTGCGTCTTCTCGTACACGTCCCCGTTCGACAGCTGCAACGCCACAAAAACAAAATACCACCATTAGTAAGTTTGTTATACACACACAGGAGGACAATACTAGCAGCAGTACTATCTTTAGAACTGTCACGTGTGTTCGTTGCAATCTATACCAAATATGTACGTACTTAATACGTTATTCCCTCCATCTACCACGGCATTACTCACTGTTACTATTTGACTCGTTCTCCCTCGTATACTCTGACGTGTTAGTAATAACTTTGCATTGTTTTTGTTTATTATTAGGTGAGGCTGATGAATGCGGACGGTGAGAGCGCGTGACAGGGATGGATGGCAACATTTATTCCGGGCGAGCAGGCGGCGCAGCCTTTTGTGGCCGTGGAAGGTCCAGAAACGAACAAGCCCATGTGGCACGCCCTGTTGCCTGCCTGCCTACTCTGCGCCACCACAGCATGCGTGTGCAACTTGCCATGGTTTTTCCTCTTTAAGATGAGCAGTGGCAGGTAGTAAATCTCAGCTAGTACTATAGCTGACACGCCATGTGACGATTGACGAAGCAAAGACCCAACGGTTGGAAACAACGCCATGGATTAACATTAACGGATGATAATTACTACTTCCATCTAAGTGAATAAGTCATTCGCGTAGTTCTAGATCATCGATTTAAGGAATTAAATATGTGTTATTTGTCATGAAAAGTATATCACTAGATTTCTACACGAATATAGTTTTTAAATATATATTTTTTGTCACGTATAATACATATTTAGATAGTTAAATCATCGACCTAAAACTACGCGAATGACTTATTCACCGAGACGGAGGTAGTAGCTAGTAAAACCGTTGCTTAATTAATTTGGGCAGGAAACGTTCGCGAGATAATCGGAGCGGGGTTGAAACACTCACGTAGAAGGCGACGACGACGCCGGCCGTGTAGTCTCTGGGCAGCTTGATGGACGCGCCGAAGAAGCCGTGCAGGTAGTAATCCGAGGAGATGAATCCCGAACCTGCATGTGATCAAACGAGCGCCGCGCCATGAGAACAGGAAGAACAGAGCGAAACAAAGTAAGGGTTTCAGGCAAGCAAAAGCAAGTGACCGATGGATTACCGGAGCGGCGATCGAGCAGGAGGCGGGCGGCCCTGTCATCCCGCGCGCGGACGAGGTTGCCGTCCCCGAACAGCGGCGAGAACCCTTCCTCGAAGGCCATGGTCGGCACGTCGAAGGCGGAGGCCGCCGCCGCCGCCAGACATACGCACGTCGCCGCCACCGCGAGCGACGCCGCCAAGAACCTCGCCTTCATCACCATTACTGCGCAGTCTGTGCTGGCTGGTGCTCTCTCTTTCTCTTCCGCCTCTCGAGATTCAAGAACCAAAACCTCACGCGCTCCCCGGGTTCTGCCTAATGACCTTCCGCCCGCCGGTTATATACGCGGTACCACTCTCAGAAGGAAACGGGCGGGGAGAGGCCACCCATCCTACCTCCTACGCCGCGCGCTATGCGATTTGAGCGGCCACTTTCTGGGTCGCACCGCGCACGCTGAGCTGGCCCGTTCCGTGACGCGTAGGGCCGTCGTCTCGAGGCGGGAAAAACGGACCCACTGCCGTGGCCCTATATGCTTAGGCAAAAAAGAGTAGAGAGCGAGGGAGAGAGAAAGAGTGAACAGGAAAAGGGATGGTGGTGGGTAAGGCCAACTCCATCGCGCGACTATATCCTGTCCGCTCCGGTCCGTTTGGGGTAAAACGGACAAGGAGGCGGCCCAGCGCGCGACGGCCCGGACCCATCCTGTCCGTTGTGTCCGGGCCGACCCATTTCGAGCGCAAACTTGCGCCGGGTTTGGGTCGCGGCGGACACCAAACGGACGCGCCCTCGTCCGCGTCGGGGCCGCGTGGCAGGCGGCCACCTACCGGCATCCCGCCCACATAAATGCGCACGGGCGGGCGGCCCCACCTGTCATCCACACATGGAAGGGTCGTCGTCCTTCTTTAAGTGGGAAGCGTGGACCGGTCGTCGTCCACACTGCCCCACACCGCCCCACGGCCTCCTCGAAACCCGACAGCCCCAGGCCCCAAACCCTAGCCAAGAACTCGTCGGGCGGCCGCCCCGCAGCCATGGGGCTCTGGAACTATGGCCGCAAAGGCAAGCACGACCGCGAGGCTGGCTCCTCGTCGGGGCGTCGCCGCGGCTCGGTGAAGAAGGAGGAGCCGGCCTCGCCATCGCCACCACGCCGGGCCCCCTCGCCGCCCGCGTTCTCCATCGCCCCCGCGTCCGCCGGCGAGCGCGACCGGCACTACATCCGCGCGGAGGTGTGCCGCCGTTATTGGGAGACGAGGACGCCGATCCCCTGGAGCGACGCCCACCTCCCCAACAACTGGCATTTGTCGGCCGACCGCGTGCCGATCCCGCCGGTCCCGGTGACCGGCCGTGCGCGCCGCCAGGAGATCGAGCGCCGCCGCCGCCTCCTCCCGGACGACCTCTACTACGACCCCAGGTACGCCCCCGACTCGCCATTGTGGGACACCTGGTTCCGCGATGAGCACGACGCGCGGCGGGCGTCCTATTTCGCCGGCACGTCGACGGGGCCACGGCGACCACGCCCAGAGCACGTCGACGGGGCCACGGCTACTCCCCAGGAGCGCGGACGTAGGGTGGTGCGCGGCCTCACGCCCACGCCGTCGCCGTCTCCATCGCCGCCACCACCTCCTCGCATGACGGCGGAGGAGGAAGCCTGTCTCGTGCAGCGTGTCATGGAGGACTCCATGCGCACGCACGACGAGCGGCAATGGGATAGCTTGAAGGAGGCCATGGCACTGTCTGCCACCGGCGACGTAGCCTTCCCGGAGCTGCAGATGGCGGCCTTGGCGGAGGAGAGGAGGGAGGACGCCATGGAGGAGGAGCCGGCGGCCGCCTTACAGCAGCTGGTGGGCGCGGGGTGAGCCTGGTCCTGCACTGCTCCGGAGATGGCCGCCAGCCTGGGCGTGGACTGGCGCGCCACTCCGCCGCAGTCACCGGAGCGGGAGGGGGCGCCACGGGAGGAGGTGTTGCAGGCACCTCCCGCCGTCCAGCCCGCCCCCGTCTACCAGGCACCGCATGCACCGCCGGCCCACCTGTGGACGCCGCCGGCCTACATCAACCTCGTCAGCGACGACGACGACACCGGCGGCCAGTGAAGAGCACCACGGCGACGGCAACGACGGGCACCGGCGGCCGTTTTTTTTCTTTTTTATGTTTAATTATTAATGTGACGAAACTGGGCCGTTTTGTGGCCATGGACCCCCTAACTAAGTTTTATCTTTTATTAAACTGCGTTTATTTATTTTTTTAGTCATTTTTTTATGTTTTCTTTTTTTATTGTTTTTCTAAACACGGACGTGATTTGGGGTGCGGCCGCGCGGTGGGCGCACGCACGATCCAATGGACACAGCCGGACACGGACGTACCCATCGACGCCCCAAAAAGACAAAATCCGGTCAATCCGGACGTCCGTTTGGGGTCATGCGGTGGAGTTGGCCTAACACCAGCTAAGCTTTGCTGGTGGTGATGGATGGGGGCTTGGCATGGCCCTAATTGGCGTGTCCGCCTTGCCCTGTCCTGCCTCGCCTCATGCAGCGCGATCACGCCATTATGCACGCACAGTGTCAGTGCTGCTGCTGCCCGAGCAATGGACCGGCGCAGCAGTTGAAATATGATGATTATTCGCGAGGGTACGCAGGACAAACGTTTGGAACCGGGAGATTATGTACGGTCATGTGACGTGCTTGCGTAGATTAGCTCGCGATCGGAAGAAAATCGGTGCTCGCTCCTTGCAGAATATGGCGTGTTACTGTTGGGATTAATGGCGGATCGCCGCCATTATTGATGAGATTTTCTCGCGGGAGTTGCTACGTACGGGCAGTGGAGGTGGCGTGAAGGGAGCGGTCGAGCCAACGACTGCGTCGTCCGGATTTGACCGATGCCTCCGCTCCGACCTCCGAGTAGGACTGGTCGGCGTGCTGTCATCCACCTGCCGCGCTGCATGTCCAACGAGGCACCAGCTGTGCAACAACCACGACGCTCTCTCCTTTCTGACCGGTTTGTTCGGTTGCGTCCTGTAGCACGCCGCTGCTCCGTCATGACGGGCAAACCTTTTAAACTGTGCACATTTAAGTGGCCGAAATCACAAGTTCCCGGTGCAACCGTTGCGAAATGTATAGACCCGGGGCCGGTCTGATCCGCTCACAGCTGCCAACAGCCGTATGCATGCATGGACTGGTCATGTGGTCAGTGGGATAGACTTGGACGACATGGCTCAGCCCAGGGCAGCCAATCAATCACCAATAAAATCACCAATAAATCTTGGAGCATTCAAAAATGCAGAGTATCCAACGCCGCCGGAGGCCCAATAAAAAATGGCCGCGGAGGAGCAGCACACGACATGACTAGTGACTCGTCCCGGACAGACAGAGGTCCTCTTTTTCATGTGCGCCGTCTCCAAACGAAGGCGCATACGCACGCACGCAGACTCGCCAGCCAGACATGTACAGTGTCGCCCGCGCGGGGTCTCGCGCTCCCGCGTCCGGACCCCCCGCCTCTCCGGTCGCTCCCGCTGGCCGATTCGTCGGGTGCGCATCGATCGGGCAGCCGCTTGCGGCGCCGCGCGCGCTCCCGCCTCCTTTTGCCCCGTGAAAATGGGTGAAATCGTCGAGGTCGTGTCCTGCTGTTGTGCTGGTTCCGTTCACGGGCGTGGCATGGATTACGGAGAGGTTTGCCTTTGTATGGGTGCGGTTTTTCGTTGTAGCCTGCAGCCTCTCGTGCGCACGACCAGTAATGGATGTCTGACCAATGACAGCTGCCAGAATGGCAGAGCCCTGCATAGCGACGAACGCGCACCATGCATGGTTTGATACTTTGGTTCCGTTCTAGCAAACATGGCCGTCCGTCAGGCCAACTTCACCACGCGATTCCATCCTATCTGCGCGCGTCCATTTAAGGTAAAACGGACGAATCAAAAGGCCCAGCGTGCGAAAACAAACGGATTTTTGTCTGTTTTGTGTCTGTTTTTGACCCATCTCTGGCCCAAATTTGCGCCGATTTTGGGATGAAACGGACAACGTGCGGACGGGCGGGACGCGCGCGCTTGTCCGCCCCTGGCACGCATGTCGGTGCACAAAGCACACCCCCCCCCCCGGCGTCCCATTTGGCGCCATTTCCCTCAAACCCTCCCACGTCCCGCTGCCCCCTCCCTCCCCCGTCCATGGCCGACGCCCAGCCGAATTCCGGCGGCCTGGCCGTCAACCCGCCCGGAATGGTCAAGAAGAAGAAGGCGAAGGCGCCAAGGAAGCCGCGGTCGGAGTGCACACCGGAGGAGATCGCCAAGTTGGACGCGGAATCGGCGAATAGGAGGAACCGGAGGGCGGTCGTCAAGGACAATGCCGCCGCGGCCAAGTTCGCCGCCGAGCATGATGCAATGGAGGCCGCGCGGCGCATGACCGAGGTCGAGGAGAAGGAGGCCATCGTCAACAAAGCGCACACCCTCCTCATGCTTGGCATTTGTCGTCCAACGGGTTTCTCTGCAGCGGTTGTCGGCTCGGCGAGTACAGGCTTGTCGGTCGCCCGGCCTCCGCACTGCCAGTCGCCGACGTCGCGGACCACGCCTATGTCGCCCGGCTTTCCCCCGCTAAGGCACGATGGCCAGACCCGTTTCTCGGGGTCGCCGGACGTTGGCGTGATCGCGTCGTCCACCCCGCGCCCCTCGGCCGTCATCGACCTCAACATCACACCTGGGTCCAGCAGCGGCGGCCGGCAGTCCGTCGAGATGCAAATAAAGCAAGCACGGCCGCCATTACGGGCACCATGCTGTCCCCCCACGTCTTGTTCGACGGAATGCCAACACCAACGCCACCGGTCGACGACCCCTTCTACAACCAGTTCGTGGAGGATGTGATCTACGACGGTGGGCATGGCCCTGCCTACAATCCCGAGGAGACCCAAAGTCAAGATGGCCGCGCCCAGTTCGTTGCCGATGAAGAGGCCGACGACCGTGCTGACTACGACCAAGGTGACTTGTGGCATGAAGACACTGACATTTGTTGCGAAGGTGATGGTGATGAAGAAGAAGGCAATGACATTGATATTAGTGTCGAGCCATTGTTCATCGACGAGCTCACCCAAAGAGCGGAAGCACAAAGGAGGATGAAGGGCATTCGCACGGGTTCATATACACAAGAGGAGGACAAGTTGATTTGCCAATGTTGGATGGAGATTAGCCAAGATCCGAGGACGGGCGCGCAACAAAAGGGGCTAGTTTTTTGGACGAGAGTCCGCAAAACT